ATTGAGCTGGTTGTGAGTCGTACTTATTAGAACTCTTTCTTACTAAGTGAATTATTATCTCCATAATAATTCACTCAACTCATCGATTTTGAATGTACTAGGCCACTATGCTACATTGGTAAATCTAGGGCAGCATCATATGCATAGTGGAAGAACAAAAAATAAAAATATTAGTTTTTCATAGAAAATAGTTTCTTGTCATCGTGCGAAAATTGGTACACAAAAACCTATAAAATCGAAAAATCGCATGTGCTAAGGGATGTGTATTACCTAGGGAGATTATATATCCCTAAAATCCTGCAGATCTATAGGAGAGGATGAAAGGGGTCAATTGTCCTCCTCTTTGTTGAATCTCAGATTTTGATTATAAAATCAATTGATAATGTTATGATCTAATCTGCATTTTGAGTGACACATGACTAGCTTCGATCAGGAGAGACAAATTGATTAAAGTAGAAAGAATAAGAAATTGGGCCGAAATTGAACATGTCAGAAGATTAGACGTTAAACCCGGGGAATGATCGACGTGTCGACAAAAGGCTTCGTACCGTGAGTTCGGGCATCGGGCTGAAAGATCGGACATTACGCAAAGGAGATCGGAAGTTACGGGTGTCAACATGCCGAGTAAGCAATACGTCGAAGGAGAGGATGATGGGCCGAAGGATCAGATGAAGCGCTGGAAGAACAAATGACATATCGGACAACATATGATTCATACTTTATAATAATTTATGTAGATCGAGTTAGTTTAAGTCGTAATTGAGTTGGTTTCGGGTGTAACCATTCCAACTCAATTATGAGCCCATTAGGCTTAAGTTGGGATTGTTTTGGGCCAAGTAGAAGGCTCATTCAGTCACCCAAGTTTAGGTGGAACCACCCATGAGCTGGAAAAGTCAAGAGCACACTTTTTTATATTATCAAACGATGGTATCGTCTGACTAAGCGGTAGTACTACTTAGTGTTAGTATGTCAGGTGGTGGTACCATAAGACTGGGTAGTGGTACCACTAAACTGGGCAGTGGTACCGCCCAATGTCAGACTGACAAGCGGTGGTACCGCTCAATGCATGTGGTAGTATCGTCCGTACCCCGAAAGCTCAAGGATTTGAATTCCAAGTTTTGAAGCAATTTGTGGTCTATAAAAACCTCATAAATTCTTGCTTAGAATAGACATGAAAAGAGAGCAAAAACTCTATGATTCCAATGTTGTAAAACTCTTCTAAGTATAGAGTCTCTCCTCCAATAGCTTAGTGATAGTCCTAAGGGAGGTGTGTGAGGGAACACTTGTAAAAGATGTGTATAAAGGTTCTCTCCTGAACCTGTGAAAAGGAGAAAGAGTGTAAAAGTAGTTGATCTTTGCCCATTGGAAATAAAATCGATAGTGGAAGCCGGTGGCATCGAGTGAAGAGGAATCGAGAGTGGATGTAGGTCACGACGATTGAACAACTATAAATCAGTTTGTATTTCTGTTTTACTATTTACCTTTATTGTAAACCGCTTTACTTTCTCATTACTTTAGTTGCACACTCTTATGAACGTTTTCATTACTTTAGTTGCAACAAATAATATAAAATAAAAAAATATCAAATAAATAATAAGCAAAAAGAGTGTGTATCATATTACATGTGCTATCACTCATCTGTCCTCAACGTGTATCTATAGTTCATCATCCATATAATATTCCAGAGACCATATATCGGGCATGGTATTGTCATACCCATTCAAAATCTACTTGAGTCTCGCTTTAATCGGATTCTCCCGAAGAATTCTTTCTCTCTCAATTCGAATGACTCTAGCTAGGGATTTACTTGAGCAAGAAAATATAGGATATTCCTCTCATGACACCGAGAGCGAATGATTCTCTATTGATATTCAGTTGCCCTCGTAAAGTTGCCTACTACTTTCGATGATCGACTGTACTAAATTTAGAACTTATAAGTTCGATATCAAAGAACGGATTACTCATACAGAATATCCTTAGTATTTCAAGTCTAAGGATCAAACACACAACTAGGACCACGAAATTACTGTTTGACAATGAGATATCATCAACCATCCATTATTCCATGAGTCGATCAATCAATGAACTCATTCTCCAATAAGCACCTACATAGTATCTCTAGTGTCCCCACATGAGTAGCTATGAGACCAGCTGCCTCCTCATATAGATTGGTATATAGTATATCGATACATTCGGCTATCTCGATATTCCTCTTGAGTAACTTATGACCGATAATATTTATGGTATGTGTTTATAGGCGAATTTGTTTGATTATCATGATCTCATCATGATCTGATTCTTCTCGCACAGATCCAAGGACATCACAATATACGCAACAAATAACATAAAGTGAGAAAATATCAATAATAATAATAATAAGCAAAAAGACTACGCAGCGTGTCACATGTGTCATCACTTACGTGATTGATTTATAGGGCACAAATCCTCCGACCCGATGTCCAATCTCTAACATGATGCTTTCTGGTATAATGTTTGATTCTCCTACTTCAACGATTTGCCTTTCAATAGTTCAAGCCTATGATTGAAGTTTTTTCTGCGTCACTTATCTCAAATACTTATTAGTCCATAAACTTATCAATTGATTTCATCATAAAAATTTGGGATTCAACAAACCCTTCAATCATGGTAGCAACATCAATCCAAATTACTTAAGAAATAACTTATACTACAACTATCAACAACTTTGGCATCCCAACAATAACAATTTACTAAAAATCTTCTGCCAGCTCTGTGACAAAATTGGACATAGTAAAAATATGTCGGTCTCGACCTAGGCCTAATGCTACACTTAATTGGCCCCAAGCAAATATTATGACTATTCCGACTACTTATCCATATAATTAGATTGTTGATTATGGTGCTTCTCATCATATTACTTTTGATATGTATAACTTATCCATCCACAATGACTATGGAGGCAATGAAGACATTATGATGGTAATGAAATCTCTATTACTCGTACTGGTTCCATAATATTTGATATTTGCACCTCATATTAAAAAAAATATCATTTATGTTTCTCAATTATGCAAACAAACTATTCACCTGAACCTATTGGGCTGACAACCATCACCCAAGCCTAAAAATCTCCACACTAGCACAAAACTATGTGTGAAGAATATGATGCCCTACTCCACAATATCACATGGAACCTTATACTATTTCATCATATACAAAATATCATTGAATGTAAGTAGATATTTCGAATTAAGCAGAACCTAGATGGATTTGTTGCTAGATACAAGGCATGTCTAGTGGCCAAAGAATTTCACCAAAGACTAAGTGTTAATTTCACAGAAACATTCAGTTTAGTTGTTAAATCGATAACAATCTGACTTTTCTTGAGTTTGACTATCATTCAAGACTAGCACATACGACAACTAGATGTTAACAATGCTTTCTTATATGGGACCATAACTGAATGTCTTTATACAATAATCTCCTGACTTCATCTATCCTCAATATCCAAGTTATATTTCTAAACTACGAAAAGCTATTTATGGATTTCGTTAAGCTCAAAGAGCTTGGTATACCGAACTTGGCTTATTTTTAGCACCAACTAGCTTTATCAACTTCTGACATCTTGTTATTTCCACGATAATAAAATGGAAGTACTATATATGGAGATCAAGCAATTCCTCAAGCTATTGATAAATCGATTCTCTATCAAGGATCTAGGAATCTTAAGTTACTTTCTGGGAGTGGAAACAACATTAACATATTCTAAACTTTTCCTATCTAAAAAAAACACATTCAAGATCTATTATCAAGCCAAAAAAGTTGCCACCCCACTCTTTACTACTAAATTACTCAAATTATATGATGATAGCACTACTACGAATCCCACACAGATAAGTGCTTAACTCCTTACAGTACTTATCACTCACATGTTCAAACATCTCATTTGCAATCAACAAATTATCATAATTTATGCATCAGTCCTCCACTATACATCGGTTTATAGTAAAACGAGTCTTGCAGTATTTAAAAGGGACTCTTGATCATCGACTTCTTCTTCGTAAACACTGATTACTTTATGTTCACTCCTTTGTTAATGCTAATTGGATAGCAACATTGATAATAGAACATCTACGTTAGCTTATATTATCTCTTTCATATCAAATCCAATCAGTTGGAGTTTCAAGAAATAGAAAACAATTACAAGGTCTACAACTGAAGCTGAATATTGAACCATCACCACCACCATTGTAGAACCCAACTCGTCACCGATCTAATATAGAAACTTGATATCAACTCCAAATCTACTTCTACGATATGTCTACAATATATTATGATAATGTTGGTACCATATATTTTTACGTTAATCTAGTATTTCACTCACATATAAAAAATATTATTATTATGAAAAATATTACTATTAACTTCTATTTTATTAGAGATTAAATTATCAAATATTAATTATATATTTCTTATATATATAATCAACTAACAAACTCCGTCACATAATCTCTCACTCCTAAAATATTTCATAAAATATTTCAATTATATCCTTCTAAAATTGACATAGAAACTTAATCTTACATACTATTGATCAAAACTTATGATAAAGATTAGAGAAAATTAATCAATTTATGATTTGACGATTTGAGTATCAAATATAAATTTAAATAACTGATTTTATTAATCGATCGGAAATCTCCCTGAACAAATAAAATCATCTTTTAAAGACGTCCGTCGGCTCCTCCACCGCCTCCCTACCCTTCTCCCTTCCCTCTCCTCCTCCCTCCCTTCCCCGCCGCCCATCCTTCCTCGTCATGGTGGGAGCAGGCGGGTAGAGAGGAGGCGGGCGGCGAGGGTGCGAGCGGTGGAGGTGGCCTCTGTGCAACGCCGCCCGCCCCCGACCGTTGTCGCCACCGCCCATCGCGAGCGGCGCCGTCCATCGCCTCCTCCCCCTCTTTCCTTCCCCCCTCTCCTCCTCCTCCTCCTCCCCACTCCTCCACCGCCGCCTCTATGCCCGCGGACAGCATCCTTATCCCCCTTCCTCAGCCAGGCCATCGCTCTCCCTCTTCCTCGCGATCGGTCACCGCTCCACTTTCCTCGTGACCGGTCGCGCGCTCCCCCTTCCGAGCGAAGATGAGGAGCTCCCTGCCCGCGCCGCCCTCCACCTCCACCATCCTCGTCGATAAAAGATGGGAAGCCCTCTGGCCCCGCTCATGGGGCCCTCGTCGGCCACGAGTCCCGCCTCTCCGTGGTGCGAGCAGGGGATAGCGCCGGCGACACTGCACAACCATGGGCAGTGGCAAAGGGGGGGAGGAGACGACATGCGATGAGGGGAGGAGGAGAAGGGGGAAGGGAAGGGAGGAGGGGGAGCAGGCGCCGCTCGCGGTGGGGAGCAGGGGTGGTGATGGCGGTGGCGGCGGCAACGGCGACTATGGTCGGCTACGGCCGGTGAAGAACCAGAGGTTTTTCTATCAAATTGATGAAAAAAGGCGGCTTCCGGTAAAAACCAATTCAGAGGGTGTCGTTTGATAAAAGTTCAATGTTAAAAGATTATACTTTATTTATTTCAAATTTGATGTTGTAAGTTACTGCCCGGAGTATAGAAAGCTTCATGCCAGAGTGGCATATGAGTTGGATAATGATGCTGATTTGGGGCACTCACATTGGCATGGTGGTCCAACTTCGCGCACGTAATTTTTCACGTGGCACACGCGTAGCTCGTTCTTAAAAGCCAAGTCTCTGCTGCACCTGCTTCCTTCCCCCCGCAGAAAACTACCTCCACAGCATTGGCATCTGATCGCCGTCAAAGCAAGGTAGCGGCCGCGGATGGAGCGGACAAGAGACGGGGATGGGCCGAGGGGAAGCGGCGGCGCGCCTGCGCTCTCCTTCTTCCCGTCCCCGTCCTCGTCCTCTTCCTCCGACTTCGAGTTCACCGTCTCCCTCTCCCCCTCCTCCAAGCGCTCCTGCTCCCAGTTGTGCCCCGCCGACGAGCTCTTCTACAAAGGCCAGCTCCTCCCCCTCCACCTCTCCCCTCGCATCTCCATGGTCCGAACTCTCATCCTCGCCTCCGCCTCCTCCTCCTCCACCGACACCACCACCACCGAATCCCGCGACTCCAACGGCAGCTCCTCCTCCTCCGCCTTCTCCGTCGCCGACCTCATCCTCCCGGAGTGCGACTCCTCCCGTCCCAGCTCCGTCACCGAGGAGGACGCCCGGCGAATCTCCCCCACCAAGCGCCCCGGCGGTTCCAAGTACCTCTCCTTCTTGGCCACCCGCTTCTCCTCTGTCTTCCTCCACCGCGGCAGCAAGAAACTAGACCCGTCCGCCGATCCCAGCATCAGCATTCCCGCCCCTCCTCCTCATCCGACTAAGCGAGCAAACTCCTCGTCCTCGTCGTCGGCAAAGGAGGTTATCAAGAAGTACGTCAAGAAGGTAAAGCCGATCTACGAGAAACTGTCTTTACTGCAGCAGAGGCACAACCAGCAGCAGCCACCACCGCCGCCGCAGCACCATCAGCGGAAGAAGACATTCTCCTTCTCGATCAAGAAGGAAAGAATGCTCGCTAGTTCGGGCAAAAAGAATGTCCTGGTTGTTGATCGCAACAATGCCCGCGGAAAGAGCATCGAGCACTCCTACTCCCAGTCCTTCTCCGGCAACCTGCTCGGCCACCCTGCCAGGAAGAAGCAGTGGGCTGCGAGCTGCCCTTCCTCCATGCGGTCTTCACCCAGCCACTCGGGTCTGCTCTACATGAGCGGGGGTGGATTTCCTGAGCCTCCTCCCGCTCTGTCGCTGTCGGCTTCGTCAATGGAGGAGTTGCAGAGCGCCATACAAGGCGCCATCGCCCACTGCAAAAGCTCCATGATCCAAGCGAATCGGAAGAAGGCACCAGATTTGGCAGGCAACGAGAAGGAGATCGACAGATCATGAGAAGAACACCACTGTACTTGCGTGGCCAAGCCATTCTGTTTGTGTTTTCGCTTCAGAAAGATCGATTAGATGTCAGTAGTATTTAGTTTGTCACAACACTGTGAGATCCACAACATCTATCAACACTGTGGATGCCTTGCCTTGCTTTTCTTTCTCTCCAATTAAATTCTTCTCTACAATCTATTCGTTTGGATATTGCCTGGTTCGCATCAATCTATCGCCAACACGCGCAAGATCCACCCAAAGTAATCTCGAGTCTACATCCTATTTCATTTCCAACTCTGGCGTGAGAGTATATAGGATCGAAGATGATGACTGGTTTAATTCCCTCCGGGAGAAACAGTAAAGAGATCACTTTTACGACCTGCACTGGTTGCTGACTCTTGTGCTAGGTCAAACCCATGCCTTTTCCTGTCTCATCTATTCTAGTCGGAGCTCTCGGCAGCCATTCTTTTACTTCTTCCAGAGCTGACTTCACTGCCCTGCACCTGAACCCATGTGAAGTAGATAAATGGTGTCCATCTTCTTATACGTTTCATGACACTTCCATTTGTGCTCTCTCTCTTTCTCAACAAGAATAGTAGCATCGACATAACAAAGAGATGATCACAGAAAGATCAAGGAAATCGGCAAGACAGTCTTTCTGCATCACGACGATGGTTATCATTGGATTCTGTACGTGATGGTGGATTAGAAGGATAAGTTAAAACCTGGAATCTGATCAGCGATATCTGACACAGAGGATATATATTTGTTTCAGAAAAGGAAGGCGAACATGAAAAGAGGAAGAATAAACAAACCCTACTCTCCATCATCCAGCTGATACGATCCGGCGGAGGAAGGAAGGAAAGAAGGGAAACGGGAGAGAAGTCGACGACCCACTAAGATTCCACAAGTCCACAGCTACCGACAACCGGGGATTAAAAGTAATGGAAACGAGGTGGTGGGGAGCCGCAGTTTAGGGTTTTCTTTGTCGACTTGCGAGACCGAGGAGCATGGCGTTGCGCAGGGCGGGACCGCTCACACATGAACATGTTGGAGTCGGCCAGCTGACGCATGGCTCTCGGGGCGTACTCTCCAATGAGACTCCATGAGCAGCTCCGATCCAGCAGAATCACAGGTGGGCAGAGAGAGAGAGAGAGAGAGAGAGAGAGAGAGAGAGAGAGAGAGAGAGA